ACGAGGTCTTTGGTGAGAGCAAACCTGTAAGAATCAATAATTATCAGATTTAGGAACCCAAAAAGGTTTGGGTCCCTTCTTATGAATAATAGAAAGCGATGCTTGTGTGCTATGTTGTGAGTCATGCAATTTTGGTCTCCACACCCAATGTGTACTATGGTGAACAGTGCAAGTGTGTGAGATGTGTCCTAGCATGCCACATGAAAAAATATCTTGAAAGTTTGCTAGGGATGTTAAGCCCTATAGAACTGGCCCAAGCTAACCAAGAGGGGGGGGGGGTGAATTGGTAATTAAAAATTTCTTTTCTCAAAGAATGAAAAACATAAACCAAAATCACCACAAAAAATAAAGTGCGAAAATAAAAGTGCGGAAGCAAAAATAAGAACACAGAAATTTATAGTGGTTCGGTCAACTCGACCTACATCCACTCCTTGGAGGCACCCTCTAAGTATTGCACTACAAAATGTGACTCTCATTTAGCCCCCATGGCTAGGTGGAGAAGCCCTCACAAGAACCTCCTTTTTGCCACCCCGATAAGGCAGAGAACCTACCTCATTTTGCTTCCACCTGAAGCTGGCAGAGAACCACAACCAAAAGCTAACTCCTTACCTCTACCGACCCTTCCACGGACTAGAAACTCTAGACGAAGAACAAGCAGAGCGATCCTTGAAGCAACTATTGTGAATCCCCTCACAAGCTCCCCCTCACAAGATCCACTCTCTCTCCCTCTCTCTCTTTCTCTCCTCAAAGTCTTTTTAATTCAAGGCAGCAGCCAAAGGTCTTTCAAAACATTGAACATGAGCTCTTAAATAGAAGAGCTTCAAAGGAGCTCATTAATTGCAAATTGTCGACTTTATCGTTTAGGCCAATATCGACATCGGCCTGGCCGATCAGTACAAATTAATGAAGATCGGCCAGAGCATCGCCCTTGATGCAAAACAAGACGATTGAAAATTGGATTGATCGTCCTGGCCGATCTCACGATCGGCCTGGCCGATTAGTTCAAATCAGAGGAAAATTATCCTAACAATAGCCTTGGATACGAGCTGGCCGATTTTGATCGTCCTGAAGTAACTTAAGGTTTTTGACTGGATCGTCCTGGATAATCCTGCTATCGTCCAGAACGATATGATCGTATCAATCATCCTTAATTACTCCCTTGATTTCCTGAACAATTAAGGCATAATTTGTGAATATCGTCCAGGCCGATACTGGATCATCCTGACCGATAATTTAAAAATACAGTATACCTTAATTGTCTATGGCGGCAACTTCTTTCTGTTTTAAGAATATCGTCCTGGCTGATACACGTATCGTCCAGGCCGATATGTTAATGATGGCTGCCTTAATTAAGAATCCTTATTTAGACTTTCTGTTTTAAGCCAGATTGTTCAGGCCGATAGAAGAAATCGTCCGGGACGATATGAGTAAAAACAGAAATTCTAAGTTTTTCAAGTATGTGTGTGAAGGGTTACTTAGCATCAGTCTCTTTGACCATTATAAGTAGACTCAAGAAGTGAAAAAACAAAAGTACATACTGGCTCAACCCTAAACCTACGCAATCCTGAATTGGCTTCATCTTGTTTGTCCGATCTTCGATTCCTGAAACGTTAGAAGCAATAAGCAGTCCAAGAGAAATAGTGTTTGTCAATCATCAAAACATAAACTATGAAAAATAGATTTGCAACAATCTTCCCCTTTTTGATGATGGCAAAACACAAGTAGGAAAATATCCAAAAAGGTTCATTAGAATTTCAAAGTTACAAACAACTTTTCCTACCACATCCTACTCCCCCTTTTGTCAGCACAAAAAGAGGGTCCATAAAAAAAAGAAAAAACAAACAAAGACTAACAAGGAAACTAAAAAAAAAGGAAACAAACAACAGAAAGCACAGACTAAAAGAACGAGGGATCCTGATCATCTGATGGAGGTGGTGGAGATGGCTGCTGAAAGTAGCTGGCAAGCATGGTAAACTGAGCATTGAACCAGGAGATGTCCTGGTCATGCTGCTGCTGCTGGTGAGTAAGGAAATTGTCAAACTGGGCTAAATCTTCAGTGTGGTGCTGCTCGTATCGGGCAATGTCCTCAGAGTGTTGCTGCTCCTGTGCAGCAACGTAGGCGTCAAAGCGGGTCTCCCATCGATCAAACCTCTCAAACAACTGATCAACCAGTGAGTGCTGGTGGCGAGGAATAGGGTCAGGAAAGGGAGCGGGAGCGGGAGCCTCCTCCTCTCTAGCCCCCCGAGGTTCCTCAGGGTAGAGACGAGTACTGTGAAGGGTACTGAAGGAACTGTTTTAGTAGAAGGGAGTTGGGAGGTTTGGTGGAATAGGATACTGAAGTTGGTATTTGGTTTCAAGAACATAGGCTATGATGTGTCCTAAGGCTAGATTTGGTTTCCTCTTGTGACTTGGATCGCGAATTGTGATTAGATGATCAATGTATCAAAAAATTAGGTCCGCAGTGTTGAATTCTCTACGAGCCATGATGTAAAAAGTAGTGAGGGAAAGTAGAGGGTTGATGTGGATTCGGTTCCCGGCTTTTGGAATTATGGAGGTGCGAAGGACATGTTGGATTGTCCTAACATCTTTGACTAAAGAGCTAGTCTCTCCAACATGGAAAGGTGCATTTGTCTAGCGAATGAAGTGATTTGCCGTGGACTAGTCAAGATCAGGATTTGAGGCGATTAAGTGCAGCTTATCCCATGTGGTGGATAGCTGTAAAAGATCAACACAGTCCTGATATCTGATTTCGACAGGGCGTCGATTCACATAGGAGGTCAGGGCTGTGAAAGTAGGGTTAATGCGAAGGTTTGTAAAAAATTCTCAAAGAAACTCGGAATTGAAAGGGAAAGCAAGAGACAGAATGAAGCAAAGTGAGGTGTGAGCGAAAAGATCCATTATCGGGTAAGAGATGTGGACATGATTGATGATTCTGGAGACAGTAATTCCACACTCTTTGTAACGAAGATAGGCGGCTTCATCTTCTGCTTCCCTAAAACGAGGGTCAATCCTTGCCCTCGAAGAACTCCCAGAAGTTTGACGGACATATTTCCCACTAGCCATAGAGAGGAGTTAGCAAGAAAACACAAGAGGAGAAAGGGTTGAAAGTGAAAAAACCATGGCTGAAATGGCCTGAATTTAAAGAAACGGCCATATCGTCTTGGCCGATCGCAGAATCGTCCAGGCCGATATGGCTCAATAATTATGTACAGGACAATTGGTCAAAAAGGCGGTCCGATCGTCCAGGCCGATCAGAGATCAGCCAGGCCGATTAGACACAGGCGATCTGTCACGACCCAACCATACCGGGACGGATCCCGCTTGCATCGGGTCGCGACGGAGCCAACAAATCCAGGATCTAGCTTTGGAATTTGCTTCAGATCTTACTTCCAAAATAATATAGATAGAAAAACACAGAGCTACTATAAACATCCAAATAGAGCACAATTCATCTATCTTATCTTTCACCAAATAATCATATATAGATACAATACATGGCTTACAGACATAAAGAACAGATAAGAACAGATAAGCCATGACTGTACAAAAATCAAAAGTACAAAATACCTAATCACAGATCAGACTCTGGACAGCTAATCCAAGACTTCCTTCCCTTTCCCAGAACTTGAAAACCATGTAGAAAACAAGAATGATCTAACAGCTCAGCAAGACATCAATCACCAATCAAAATCATCAAAAACTCACATCAAAAATAGCCTACAAAAATCACATAACAGATACTTATTCAATCATAAATCAACAATCCATATTAAAAACTAAAGTCATGGTAAGTCAGAGTTCAGAACAAATGTCATAAAACTTTCAAGTCACAGAACAGACAGAATCATACGGAATAACCAGAATCGTACATATATCAGAGGATTCATAAAACAAATCAAATAAGTCACATAACAGATCTCAGATATCAAATATCATGTTCCAGATAACATATCACATATCAGATTTCAGATTCTCCAGACTCTTACAGAATCTCGACGGATTTTGACCCCTTATAGCTCCCTTCCCTGACATTTACAGAATCTCAACGGATTCTGACCCCTTATAGCTCCATTCTCTGACACTTACAGAATCTCAAAGGATTCTGGCCCCTTATAGCTTCATTTTGATAGCACATACACAATTCATATTAAAATCATCTTATTTCAGAAATCTCAGAAATCGTACAAAAATTCAGCGGCATAACGGCAGTATACGAAATTTACACAAAATTCATAATTTCAGAAATATACCAAATTACCACAGAACATTCACAACAACATTGTAAGACTTCCATTGTACTGACAAAATATTTTTCAATATCCTGATAATTTACAGTTTGATTAAAACACCACAGAATCCAAAATATCCTGTAAAAATCTTCCAGAAAATACTCAAAACGTTCACAATTAACATTCCAGAGACATACCAAAAGTTATGCGGTAAAACCTTTATCAGTGCAAAATAAAATCAATTATTCGCTAACGGAAACAAATTTTGGAACAGAAAATGCGTCAAAAATCTCATTTCTGAAAATTGTGAAAGGCGGAATGTGCCTTACCTCGAGTCGGTCAACTTCTCTAACTGTCACAACGGACGAAAACGGACCGGAGTCGCCCAAAAATCACTTTTCCTTCTTTTTCCTTCGTTTTTCTCTCCTAGCGTCCTTTTTCTTTTCTGAAAATATCTCATTCTATATATATCCAGACTGATCGTCCCGGACGATCGCAACTTCATCCCGGACGATTTATGCTATGGACAATTTTCGTCCAGACGAAATTAATTATCGTCTCTAGAGGATCGGCTATGGAAAATTTTCGTCCAGACGATCCAACTTTCGTTCAGACGAACCATGCAGCCAAACATGCTTTCCTGCACAACCTGTACCAATCGTCCCGGACGATCAAATTTTATCCCAGACGAACCTAGGAGCAAAAATGGTCTTTACAATCTCCCCAACTTGAGAAAAATGTCGTCCTCGACATTGCCAATCCAAAACTCAGTCAAAAAAGATACGGATACAACCGTCTCATGTCCGACTCCTTTTCCCAAGTCGCTTCTCGTGCTGTTCGGTGCTTCCACTGAACTTTAACCATACGAATTTGTTTACTTCTTAACTTACGAACATCGTAAGCCAAAATCAACTCAGGTTCTTCTTTATACTGCAGATTCTCCTGAATCTCAACTTCATCAGCAGATAATGTCTTTCTAGAGTCAGATATCCACTTTCGCAAAGTAGATACGTGAAACACATTATGTACATCATACATCTGATCAGATAATAACAGTCTATAAGCAGACTTACCAATCCTTTCAAGGATTTCAAAAGGTCCAACATACCTTGGACTGAGCTTACTCACTTTTCCAAATCTGCTGACTCCTTTCATCGGACTGACTTTGACATACACAAAGTCACCAATCTGAAATTCAACAAACCTGTGCTTTTGATTGTAATACTTCTATTATCGATCTTGTACAGCTTTCAATCTTTCTTTAATCAAGTTGATTTTCACAATAGTTTCATCCACAAATGTTGCACCCATTTCTTGTCTATCTCCTACCTCAGTCAGAGTTAAAGGAGTTCTACACTTCCGTCCATACAAAACTTCATAAGGTGACATACCATTACTGGACTGAAAACTGTTATTATAAGCAAATTCGATCAATGGAATATGATCTTCCCAATTTCCTCCAAAATCCAAAACAAATAATCTCAGAAGATCTTCCAGTACCTGGATAGTCCTTTCAGACTATCCGTCAGTCTGCGGATGAAATGCCGTACTGAAATGCAACTTCGTACCAAATTCTTGCTGAATACTCTTCCAAAGTCTGGAAGTAAACCGTCCATCTCGATCAGATACGATCACTTTAGGCATACCATGTAATCTGACAATCTCCTTCACATATACTTGTGCCAACTTATCCACCAGATTCGTCTGCCTGATCGAAAGAAAATGTGCAGACTTCGTCAATCGATCCACAATCACCCAAATGGCATCATGCCTTTGCCTTGATCGAGGAAAATCCATAGCAAAATCCATTGTTACCTCCTCCCACTTCCACTCAGGGATAGGCAACGACTGCAAAAGTCTTCCTGGTCGTTGATGCTCTGCCTTCACCAACTGACAGGTCTCACATCTAGCAACAAAATTTGCTACATCCTTTTTCATTCCAGGCCATCAGAACAAACTCATCATGTCTCCGTACATCTTGCCACTTCCCGGATGGATCGTATAGCCTGAATGATGTGATTCGTACAGAATCTCTTTCCTCAGATCTCGAAACACAAGAATCCACAACCTATTCTTGCAGAAAATAACACCAGAATCAGAAACGCGAAGTTCAGGCTTCTTACCAGATTTAATGTGAGAAATTAACTTCAAATAGTCAAAATCTGACTTCTGAGCTTCTTGAATCCTTTCTTCCAGTCTTCCCTGAATGTTCATCTGAGTCAAAATACCAAAATCCGGACCAGTAGAGGAAATCACCTCGAACTGTAATATTTCCATATCTTGTATCAGATACTCATCCGAAGAGAGCTGAATACCTGATATTATCATCTCTAGAGGATCGGCTATGGAAAATTTTCGTCCAGACGATCCAACTTTCGTTCAGACGAACCATGCAGCCAAACATGCTTTCTTGCACAACCTGTACCGATCGTCCTGGACGATCAAATTTTATCCCAAACGAACCTAGGAGCAAAAATGGTCTTTACAATCTCCCCAACTTCAGAAAAATGTCGTCCTCAACATTGCCAATCCAAAACTCAGTCAAAACAGATACGGATACAACTGTCTCATGTCCGACTCCTTTTCCCAAGTCGCTTCTCGTGCTGTTCGGTGCTTCCACTGAACTTTAACCATAGGAATTTGTTTACTTCTTAACTTACGAACATTGTAAGCCAAAATCAACTCAGGTTCTTCTTTATACTACAGATTCTCCTGAATCTCAACTTCATCAGCAGAAAAGGTCTTTCCAGAGTCAGATATCCACTATCGCAAAGTAGATACGTGAAACACATTATGCACATCAGACATCTGATCAGATAGTAACAGTCTATAAGCAGACTTACCAATCCTTTCAAGGATTTCAAAAGGTCCAACATACCTTGGACTGAGCTTACTCACTTTTCCAAATCTGCTGACTCCTTTCATCGGACTGACTTTGACATACACAAAGTCACCAATCTGAAATTCAACAAACCTGTGCTTCTGATTGTAATACTTCTATTGTCGATATTGTGCAGCTTTCAATCTTTCTTTAATCAAGTTGATTTTCACAATAGTTTCATCCACAAATGTTGCACCCATTTCTTGTTTATCTCCTACCTCAATCAGAGTTAAAGGAGTTCTACACTTCCATCCATACAAAGCTTCATAAGGTGACATACCAATACTGGACTGAAAACTGTTATTATAAGCAAATTCGATCAAAGGAATATGATCTTTCCAACTTCCTCCAAAATCCAAAACAAATAATCTCAGAAGATCTTCTAGTACCTGGATAGTCCTTTCAGACTGTCCGTCATTCTGCAGATGAAATGCCGTACTGAAATGCAACTTCGTACCAAATCCTTGCTGAATACTCTTCCAAAGTCTTGAAGTAAACCATCCATCTCGATCAGATACGATCACTTTAGGCATACCATGTAATCTGACAATCTCCTTCACATATACTTGTGCTAACTTATCCACCGGATTCGTCTGCCTGATCGAAAGAAAATGTGCAGACTTCGTCAATCGATCCACAATCACCCAAATGGCATCATGCCTTTGCCTTGATCGAGGAAAACCCATACCAAAATCCATTGTTACCTCCTCCCACTTCCACTCAGGGATAGGCAACGACTGCAAAAGTCCTCCTGGTCGTTGATGCTCTGCCTTCACCAACTTACAGGTCTCGCATCTAGCAACAAAATTTGCTACATCCTTTTTCATTCCAGGCCATCAGAACAAACTCTTCATGTCTCTATACATCTTGCCACTTCCCAGATGGATCATATAGCCTGAATGATGTGATTCGTACAGAATATCTTTCCTCAAATCTCGAAATATAAGAATCCACAACCTGTTCTTGCAGAAAATAACACCAGAATCATAAACGCGAAGTTCAGGCTTCTTACCAGATTCAATGTGAGAAATCAACTTCAAATAGTCAAAATCTGACTTCTGAGCTTCTTGAATCCTTTCTTCCAGTCTTCCATGAATGTTCATCTGAGTCAAAATACAAAAATCTGGACCAGTAGAGGAAATCACCTCGAACTATAATATTTCCATATCTTGTATCAGATACTCATCCGAAGAGAGCTGAATACCTGATAAGCCAGAAGATTTCCTGCTCAAAGCGTCTGCTACCACATTAGCCTTGCCAGGTTGATACTGAATTGTCAGGTCGTAGTCCTTGATCAACTCAAGCCATATTCTTTGTCTCAAATTCAGATCCTTCTGAGTGAATATATACTTCAAGCTCTTATGATCCGTAAAGATCTCACATCTGACGCCATACAGATAATGACGCCAAATCTTCAAAGCAAACACAACTACAGCCAATTCCAAATCATGCGTTGGGTAATTCTTTTCATGTAGTTTCAATTGTCTCGAAGTATAAGCTATTACCCTACCATGCTGTATTAGAACACAGCCCAAACCTTTCAGTGAAGCATCACTGAACACCTGAAATCCTTCCGTACCTGACGGAAGTGCTAACACTTGAGCTGAAGTCAAACAATCCTTCAACTTCTGAAAACTAGCCACACACTCCAATGTCTAAACAAAAGCTACTAACTTCTGAGTCAGTCTCGTCAGAGGCGTAGAAATTTGAGAAAATCCCTTTACAAATTTCCTATAATATCCGGACATGCCTAAGAAACTATGTACCTCAAATACCATAGTAGGCCTTGGCCAATCAGCAACAGCTTGAATCTTCTGGGGATCGACAGAAATACCTTCACCACTCACCACATGCCCTAGAAAAGAAATGCTCTTCAGCCAGAATTCACACTTGAAAAACTTAGCATACAACTGATGCTGCCTTAAAGTCTCCAACATAATGCTCAAGTGTCTGGCATGATCTTCTTCAGAAGCAGAATATATCAGAATATCGTCGATAAAGATGATCACAAACTGATCTAGATATTCCTTGAACACTCTGTTCATCAGATCCATGAAAATAGCAGGTGTATTGGTTACCCCAAAAGGCATAACCAAAAACTCGTAGTGCCCGAACCGAGTACTGAAAGCTGTCTTCAACACATCAGCTTCCTTCACTTTCACCTGATAATATCCTGATCTCAAATCAATCTTTGAAAATACAGAAGAGACAGAAAGTTGATCAAATAAATCATCAATCCGTGGTAATGAATACTTATTCTTGATCGTGATTTTATTCAAATCTCTGTAATCAACACACATACGGAGTGTTCCGTCCTTCTTCTTCACAAATAGCACGGGTGCTCCCCAAGGAGAAACACTAGGATGAACAAATCCTCTATCTACTAACTCCTGGAGCTGAACTTTCAACTCAGAAAGTTCCTTCGGTGCCATTCTGTACGGAGCTTTTGATATCGGAGCTATACCCGGAAAAATATCAATAGAGAACTCAACATCTCTATCCGGAGGTAAACCAACCAACTCCTCAGGAAATACATCAGAAACCTCTAGTACAACCGGGATATCAGAAAGAGAACCCACCTCTAGGTTCATATCCCGTACAAAAGCCAAAAATACCGAGCAACCCTTCTTCCACAATCTTTTGATTTCCATTACAGAAATCAGATAGGATAAAACACCTCGTAATCCTTGGAATATCCATCTTTCTCCACCCATAAGCAAGCTCACTTGCTTCTTCAAACAGTCAATCTGAGCCTCATACAGACTCAACCAATCCACGATCGAAATTCCTCAGAAAATTCTTCCCAAGTAATCAACAAATTTAACTTCCCTTGGAATTTCGCCTCCTGCTGGCCTATCCACCAGTGCTCTGCTTCCCCATCTAACAGAAAAACTACCAAAGGTACCTTCCTGTCCGGCGGATACTGCATACCGTCAAAAGTCTTCTCTAACCTCCTCAACCATTCTTCAGCTGCTCTGGGCTCAACAGTGCCCTCAAACCTCGGAGGTTTCAATCTCAAAAACAATTGTATATGTTTGTCTATATCTTCAGATTGAATAATAGAGGCTATACTCTGAGTCTCGCTCATCATCTGAGCAATCAATGTAGCAAACTGCAAAAGTGTATCAGAATCAACCACTGGGGCTGTACTACCCACCGGAGTTGCCTGACTAGCACTCTACCCATCTGTCATATCTGGGTCTGGAAGATCCATGATCACACAGAAAACTAAGCACAAAACAACAAAATAAAAATCCAGACAAACCAGACCTACCCCACATAAACTCACAGATCACTTCCTATAGCTCTGTCTTACAATCCAAATTCCAAAATTATTGCACTGATACCACCAAAGCTTGTCACGACCCAACCCGACCGGGACGGATCCCGCTCGCATCGGGTCGTGACGGAGCTAACAAATCTAGGATCTAGCTTTGGAATTTGCTTCAGATCTTACTTCCAAACTAATACAGACAGAAAAACACAGAGCTACTATAAACAACCAAATACAGCGCAGTTTATATATCTTATCTTTCACCAAAAAATCATATACAGATACAATACATGGCTTACAGACAGAAAGAATAGATCAGAACAGATAAGCCATGACTGTACAAAAATCAAAAGTATAAAATGTTGCAACCCATGACCCCGAGTTTGAGATTTTGATGATGTCGAATAATGAGTGTTTTGGAACAACTTTTCATGGAATACTATTTTATTTGCTATTGTCCTTGAGTACTAACATTTCAGGAAGAATCACAAGTGACTCAGGACGAAAGGAAGACTAAGAAGGGTAGATTAGGAGTATGAGTCCACAACATTGTATTTTCTATTTATGTTTAATTTTTATTTTATTTTAATTGAGTCTGGCCACAAATATGGTCATAAGATAAAGAGCAACCATTGACACACACACAGGGAAGGAGAGTTTTGTTTTAAATGAAAATAGTCATAGAAATTCTTCTCTGGAGATCGACTGTATCGTTATTTTAATTGCAATACTGTACGATCAGAGCTATGTGGACGTATTTCTGTGAATATATCGTACTGTATT